TCAACCCTGCCTAGCCATCCTTCCTAGCTCATCCCCGGGTCCTTGCGTTTCGTTCCGTTTTCTCAGACTGTGAAGTTCCACTGCGGGGTGGGGGGACAGGGGTGGGGGCGGGGGGGAAAACGCAGTCAAAACCCACGGGGAGCTGGGTTGGGAGGCTGAATGGCCAAGAGAACTTTGACGACCCAGAAGACTGAGATTTCCAGACTTAGAAGGAGTAATCCTGAGAGATGAGTTAGTGCAGCAAATGTTAAACAAAACCTAAAAGCCAGTGAGAACTTCAGGAAGGCTGTAGAGAACAGAGATGAATAGTGGGGTCGTTTTGATCACCCACATTTTTTTGGTTTTGTATTAATGGTGTTAAAAGACAAAGAAAACTACTATAGCAAAAAATGTTTTGAAAAAGAATGGAGAATGTATTAAATTTCATCATTTTCAAAGAGCTTGTTTCGATTTATGTATATGACATACGACTTGTGGTTTTGTCCTTAGAAGCGTACAGGTATGAATCACGTTTAGGGCTGCTTCCAGAGCTAAGCTGCCTGAATTCAAATCGCAATACTTAATTTACAATTTACTTAATCGTAACTTTAAGTAAATTGTGTAACCTCCCTAACCGTCAGCTTTATCATCTGTCAAATGGAAGTACTTGTTGGTTTCCATGTAAGGAATTTGATAACATAAAAAGCAATTGGTATGTGTCAAATAGTAATACTACCTCTAGGATATTTGCCCATGTGAAGTATCAATTGATTTCCTGAGTGTGTGAAATTTATGGGAGTGATATTATTTCAAGGGCTTTTCCAGCTCTCGTTTTCATGGTTGTTATCTAACTGGATGGAAATTAATATTAGAGTCATTTTTTCTAATAATAACATGGTCTGGGGAATTCTCATTTACTCTGTAGAGGAACAAAATACTTTCTATTACTCTTGTAGGTTCTGTGACTGGTCTAAGAATTAAATCCACATAAGATGGATAAATAGAACAAAACAATATCTATTGTAATTACATATGTAAGCATAGAGGTTCCACAAAAATATGAGACTCCAGATGGCCAGAGATTGGCATATATAATCATAAGCTACAGAAGGGCACAGGGATTTGAGGCTTCAGGGGTGAGAGGAGACAAATTAATTGAAGGTAAGGGGAGGCAATGTATGGTCAGCAAAATTGCCTTTTTATGTAAGTAAATCTCTCAGACAGCAGTAGTTTTCTCAGGGAGTAGCACTTCCTGGTACAGAAAGATATCTTTACTAAGGAAAGTTCCTTAAGCACAGGAAATCTCCTTTACAAAAGGGGAAACTTACATTTTATTTTAGGCAATTGAGGGGGAAGTAAAAAACTTTCTCTGCTTTTTTTTTTTTTTTTAAAGGTTTTTGGCATAGGGCATGTGCGCTCCACAGAGAGAGACAGTGAGAGGGAAAGTGAAAAATTGCCTCCCACCCTCAACCTGGAGGTATGGCCACGATCCTTTCTCTTCCATTCTCCTCCTAAGATTCTGGGCACAGGCACACATACTCTCCCAGGGCGCTGTGGATTGCTTCAGTTTAAAGTCCAAGGCCCACCCTGTAGCCTACTGGTTAAGGGAAGCTGGATTCTATATGGTTAACCAGTTTGAATCCTGGCCCCAGCATCTTGAAAAGTATGCCAGGCACATAAGAATGCATGCTCCAAATCCTGATAGGATGAAGAAATAAAGAAGGAAAGGTAGATTGGGGAGTGCTTGCTCCCTCTTCCTCTCTCTCTCTCTCTCTCTCTGTTTCTCTCCAGTAAGTGTATGCACCCTTTGGCAATTATAAACAGAAACAAGTAAAATAATCCATTATGCTAAAGGGCTGTATTTTGGGGTGGCATGTGAAGGAACAATTGGCTTTGCTTCTGCTATGCAGTTAGAAGCCTCCTGGACTACAGTGCTGGAAGCCACATGCCCACCAGGGGTTCCGATTCCTGGGTGGGCCTGAAAAACATGCAAGACATGTGCATAGGTATACTAGATCTTGAGGAGCTAGACAGCTAGGGAAAGTGCTGAGGCACTGCAAGGGTCTTTATCTTCTCCCTTGTTCTCTCTCTTCCATGTGCTCTCTTTTATAAAAAAAGAAACGCAAAGAATTATTGAATATATCTATGATCAATCCTTCTTTCCAATTCACTTTCTTTTTAGTTGCCTGACTCTACCAAGTCACTGTTTTTACCACTTTAGTCTCAGCCTGGAGACTTAAATGTAATTCTAATCTCTGTAGAATGATCTAGAATATATTAAATAAAGTAATCCTTAAGTAATATATTTAATTATTAAATATTTAAATGCATTTTGGTCGTGAGTCTTTTAAGTTAAACCTGCATTTGGGAATCTCTTCATTTTGTGAGGAGGAATTGAGAGGAAAACATCAACTTGGAGATCTCAAAACTTCTCAAAGAAGAAAACCCATGGAAATCATGAATCGACAATATTCATAACAAATCAACTCCATATAAACATAAAAAAGAATATAAAGAAAACAAGGAATGCTGGAGAAACATAAGGAACCTACAGAAACAATCTCGCCCATCCAACCCTTCAGTTAAAGGTAAATTTTTGTTAGTTTTTTGTTTGTTTGTTTGTTTGTTTGTTTGCCATAGGTCACAAGTATTTGCCCGAGAGAGTAACAGAGAGAGAGGGACAGTGAGGAATCATTCTCCAGAGGGCATGACCTCCCTGCAATCCCTTCTTTTCCATTCTCCTCTAGGGAGAATGCCCTACATGAACATATGCCCAATATGCTTTTCAAGTTGCTGGGTCTCAGACTTGACCCTTTCAATCGGCCATGTGGGATCCAGCGCCTTAATCACCAAGCCTCATGCTATCGGAAATTTTTTTTTTTTTTTTTTTTATCACAAATGTACATCACAGTGCCAGCAACTTTTCTTGGTGCTGAAAATGTGTGTCCACACTATAATGTCAAACTTTGCAAAACCATGTAAACTGCTTGGTAGTAAAATTTAATAATACAACATTGGACACAATTTGAGGCTTTTAAATTTATCTCAGAATTTCACTTTGTGATAGTGAAATGTGACTTTAGCTTATTATTGATTAACACTTGGTCAATCTCATTCAGCTAAAATTTGTTTTTGGTATACTCCTAAATATACAACTAAAACATGTCCATAATTTAATTTTAATTCCATTTCTAATTCTAATTCATTTCCTTACCCAGTTTTACATTTCTTCCTCTCATCTTCTATTAATATATATATATATATGTACATATATATATATATTAATTTATTAATTAATTAATTTTTGGCCAGACTGTATGTGTGGTCCAGCAAGGGAGTTGGGGGGAAGGGGAGAAAGCACTTTCCCAGTAGGGGTGGTCATGCCGTTATCCTTTTTCCTCCATTTCTCCATCCATCAGGATTTCGGGCAGGCATGAAGATGGTATATATTTTTAAGCTGCCAGCACAAGGATTCGAACTGTAGTTATCCATGTGAGCTCCAGCTCCATATGCACAGTGCTTAACCAATGTGCTACTAGGCTGGCTCGAATAACTCTATTATGAATTATGTTTATTATCTGTCTCTTCATACTCTTCCATCACTAGAATATAAGATTCGTGAGGGCAGGAATTTTTAAATGTTTCATTCACAACTAATCCCTAGCACCTAGAATGGTGACTAATACCTACATACTCAATTAATTCAACTCAACAAGGTGAACATGGGAATATTCATGCCAAAATATCAACAGTGATCATGAGATGAGTCATAAGTAGGATGATAACAGCAAGACTTTTTATCATTCATAATAAACTGGATTATACTATGATAAAACAGCCACAAAATTACAATGGCTTAGATAACACGTGTTTATTTCTTGTCCATGGGAAGTCTAGTACAAATCTGCATGACTTTCAAGGTAGCTATTATCAATATGTTGCTTCGGTATCCTCTGCTGCTCTGATTTTATGGTACTTCAGAGTCAACACAGTCTTCCACAATTAGCATGGCAAGAGAGGAGAAAACTTAAAGGACTGTCACCAGCTGGCTAATGCTTTCACAAAGTGACGTACCATTCAGATTTCATTGAATAAAGCAAGTGACATGGTATGCCAAACTTCAAGAGGGTCTGAATGAATATCCCATGTTCCTGAAAGGAAATAAGAACTAGAAATGGTGAGTAGCACTATGTCTGCCAAGCCACATAAGAAATTGAAAAACTAAGACTTAACTGACTGTATGTTGGCAACAGTAAAGTTTGGTAATAAATTCTTAAAACTAGGGAAAGCATGAAGCAGAGCTAGTGTTCAGTATAATTTTGGGAAAAACATGGTGAAGATGAGTCCAAAAGTGCTCAGAGAACAGCCACATAATAAGAGTCTCCAGGCACAGAAGCAGTAATTTAGTTCTCCAATTATTTTTTAAAAAGAAATCAGAAGAATAAAGTCAGATATCAGAAAATACACACAGGAATCTGGAGGAGGAATGCCTAGGGAGATAAGAAGTATGTAACTGTGAAATCCCAAGACAAAGAAGAGTTTTCAAAGAGCTAGCTAAATTAAATGTACTAAGTGACACGAAAAGAGAACTGATTTCAGTAATTAAGAACACATACATCATATCCAAGAAAATATGTTTTGAGTAGTCCGAATAGATAGGACCCTAATTATAGTAAATGAATGAAAGAATGAACATCAACAATAGAGCTTTAGGATTTGCTAACCATTAGTTTAAGGAAGTAGGTCATGAAAGTAAAGAGTCAGCAGAATTAATTCTAATCTGGCTCGTAATTAAGGCAGAATTGTGGCCTTATCCTGCTCTGCCTTCTGATCCCCTACACAGATCGGAAACAGGAGGATCTGTGTCACAAATATCTGCAGGACAAGTGACACCAACTTCAAAATCTGCTACTATTCATTAGAAATTGCAATTGAACTTCACTTCTCTCATTTCATTATCTCAGCAACCCTGTAAAGTATATTTTTCACATCTGTTTTACAGATGGGTTAACACAGGTTCAGAGTAAGCTGTATAAGAGGTTCATGTGTTTGATTTAGGGTTACATGAGTGAGTAAAGGATAGGGAATATTTTAAAAGCCAGAGTGATCTTAGTTTCAAACCATTATTTTTCATTGACTATACCGGGATCATTAGTGCCCTTTCTTTTCACCAGGCTTCAAAACTATTTACTACTTTAAGTAGAAACTGAATGGACGGATAGGTTCCTACTTATCATACATGTACTTTTTTCCTGAAGGAAGGTAGTTGTCATTTTGTCCAAAACATATAAAAGAAATGCAGATATTACATACCTCTTTTAAAAAACAAAACGTTACAAAACTACCAGCAGATCCTAATCTTCACCTTGCCAAAACCAAATAGTCAGCAATACATGTATTTCAAGCTCTTGGGGAAAAAAATAATTCAAATTGCTAACACTGATTACTTTAGAATAGTAAAAGTGAGATTTTATTCTCTTAATCTTATTCCTTTTCAGTATTTTTCACATTTTCTACACTGAACATATATATTTTTGTAATCATAACCCCCCGTGGCAAAGATATGATTTCATTTAACACTTTATATAAGAGATCAACATTATAGAGATGAAAATGTCACTCTCATTTGAACTACTGAGGTAACTTAAACGAGTTTTTACCTTGTCCTTAATTTATAGGTGCATCAGTGTCAGTTGAACAACCTGAGTCTGCAGAATCCCAGAGGATTCCCTAAGCCTGCTGCATAAAATACAACAAAACAAAGCCCACGCACAAGACCGGAGATAGCTGGATCTTAGCTGGGCATACAGGAGGCAGGTGAAGAACAGCCCTCTCGACTGACTACACGTTTTGGATGTGTATAAAGACAGGCCTTTCCTGAGCTCTGCCCCTGATCCCTCAGCTTATCTCTAGACGCTGCGGTTGCCTGGTTACGAAAACCTTCTTTCTCTGAGCTCCGCCTTTTCTCCTAGACCACGCCCCTTTCCCCGGTCCGCTCTCCCGAGTGGGGACTAGGAGCCAGGCCTCTTCAGCCACTCAGCAGTACACACTGTGGGTCTTAGGCCCATGATTGGAGCATCGCAATGTGGGCGGAGCCCCGGGGCAACGTCAGCACGTCGACGCGGCGGTTTTCTCTGGCCGGGTTTCGCTGACCCTGGTCCCTTGTTTCTGTGGGCTTGGCCCGGCTGCCCCTGGACAAGGAGGGCAGTCATCGTGTGCTCCTGGGCCTACGCGGTTAGCGGGCTCGGTGCATGGTCTGGCCGCATTCCCTTCTCTCCCGGCCTCTCCTCCGGTCCATCCGCTGTAAAAGGGTGCCTTGGAGAGGCAGAGGCCCCGGGACTCGGCCGGTGAAAACTAGGGGTTCATCCCCACTTCGGGTTCGGATGGGAGGTGGCGGGAAGAGCGACCTGGGATGTTCAGTCTGATGGCCAATTGCTGCAATTGGTTCAAGCGGTGGCGGGAGCCTGTCAGGTAGGCTTGGAGCCGGTTGTCCCGGAGCAGTCCTAGGGGACTGGAATAGCTGTGTCCCACAAGCCGGGCGGGGTGTCTTATCTCTTGGTGCCTGGAAGAGCCTCTCCTAAGCCACAGGGAATGCTTCATTCCCGGTTTGTCCTGTTTGGAATGGAGAGATTAGAGAATGTAGTCTTTTTGTCTGTCTGTGAATTCCGATCAATAGTGCTTATCATTCTATTTTAAGTAGGTTTGAATTAAGAAAAAGTTGTGGAGTGAGTGTACGTGTGTGTATGTATGTGTGTATCTGCTTGTGCTTGTAAATGGAAACTGGGTTGTGGATTTTTCATCTGAGACCTTTGTTACAGAAACGTTCTTAAAAAGAGAGGCATGGAATATAGTTTTCATAATATCCATACATCACCTTCCAACTGTTTTACTCTCTCAGTGGTGTATATGAGATCTTTGGCTACAAATCTGGCTTCACCGCTTTACTAATTAAAATATCTCACTCCACCACTTATGGCCACACCTTCCTCCTATATTAAATGAGAATGATAATATCTGCAGCGAGGAAGTGTTGTATTCAAGGACCATAAGTGATGGATGGTGTTTTCTTAAATGTAATATATCTTCAGTTTTTATGTCGGTGCTAGTAAAATTTTTTAATTCAACGGGTCCACTCTTGGGGCCAGCAGGTGGCGTGGAGGTTAAGGTGCTGGACTCCTAAATGGGAAACTGCAGTTTAAAGTCTGGACCTGGCAGCTTGAAACTCAGGCCAGTCATGTGTGGTTGTGTGCCAACCATCCCAAGAGAAGAATGGAGAAGGGATTGTAGCATGGCCATACCCCCTGAGGGAATGATTTCTCGCTTTCTGTCTTTCCTAAAGCAAAAATCTCTCTGAAAAAAAGATCCACTTTTAACATTTCATCTTAAAATGCTAGATGTATTGATATTCAGTGTCCAATACCTAATATTCATTCAACAAACATTTATTTAAAAAAATACCAAGTACCAGGTACTATGCTAGGAAAGCATCAGTGAAAATGATGCTTTCAAAATGGAGAGACCCAACCTATAAAGATATTTTGAGTTTGTTTGTTTGTTTTAATATATATAAAGAATAACCACTTCACATGAAATCCTACTCTGGAATTAGGCCAAGAATAAAATACAGTAATTTTTTTTCTTTTACATGTTACCATTTTAAGCTTAATATTTGACATAGGATGAACTATTCTTTAAAGAATGAATCTAAGGGGACCAGCAGGTGGTGTGGTAGTGTGGTGTTAAAGCGCTAGACACTCCCACATGGGCGGCCACAGTTCAAGTCCCGGACCTGGGGGCTTGCTTGCTCACTTTCTCTCTCTCTCTCTCTCTCTCTCTCTCTCCCTCTCCCTCTCTCTTTCTGGTCAAGTAAATGAATGAGTAAATAAAATGAAATAAAATAATTCTTGGGACCAGCAGTTGGCATAATGGCTATGTCGCTGGACTCCCACGTAGTCGACCGCGGTTCACGTCTCGGACCCGGTGGCTTAAAACTCACGCCGGGCGCGTGTGCGTGCGTGCCCAAGATCCCGAGAGGAGAATGGAGAAGAAGGGATTGTGGTGTGGCCATCCCCCCTGGGGGTGATTTCTTGCAGTCTGTCTCTCTGTCTCTCTCTGTCTTTCTGGCGAGCACACGCGCCCAATAGCAAAAACCTCTCAAAAAAAAAAAATTCTTAAAAAAACCATATCTTAAAAAAAAAAGAATGAATCTAAAACAGTTATTCTTATGTATTATAAGGAAAAATACATGTCTGTATTCGGAAAAGAAATTAACTTTGTATGACACTTTTGAAATTCTTCCTTATTTACTTGTAACTGGACTTGCATTATTTTAAATATAATAAATGTAAGTAATATATGATAATCTGCTTAAAGAACAGAAATAGAGGCAAGCAAGTGGCGTGGTGGTGAAGGCCCTGGAGTCCCACATAGCCAACCTTGGTTAGAGTCCTGGTCCTGGTGGCTTGAAAATCATACCCAGTGTGTGGGTGTGGGTGTGTGTGTGCCTATGTGCCCAAAATCTGAAGAGGGGAATGGAGAAGGGATTGTGGTGTGGCCATCCGTCATGAAAGGGGTGATTTCTCACTTTCCCTCTCACCATCTCTATCCCTCTCTGGAGAGCCCACGTGCTCTACAGCAAAAACCTAAAAACACAAAACAAAATGAACAAAACAATGAAAGATGTGTTTTTGGTTTATAGACTTTGATTTGTTTTAATCTTGTTCTGATTTGATTACAGAGTCTCTGCTAAGACTTGAGGGTTATTCATAGTAGATGATTCCTCATTTTTATCTGTGTCTGCTTTTTTAAAAATATAACGGATGTTTTTGAGGTCATTGTAACATATGTCTTTTAACTAACAACATTAAAAACTCATAATCCAAATAAGGAGTCTTCAATTTAATTAATATTTTTTAGTCTTTGCTTTTCTTAGTAGATATAGTATAGTCTCTTGTTTCATTTGTTTACAGAAAAGATAGAGTTAAGAGAAAAGAGAATAGGGGCCAGCAAGTGGTAAAGTGGTTAAGGAGCTAGACTCTCACATGATGGACCATGGTTAAAGTCCCAGACCTTATGGCTTCAAACTCATGCCGGGTGCATGTGCATGTGTGCCCAAATTCCCTAGAGGAGAATGGAGGAGAAGGGATGGTGGTGTGGCCATTCCCCTGGGAGATGATATCTCACTTTCTATCTCTCTGTATCTGTCCCATGAGCACATATGCCTGATAGCAAAAATCTCTCTCTCTCAAAGAAAAATTGTAGAAAAAAGAGAATATTATAGTTTCTGAGTAAAGCAAATAATTGACTTTTATTAGTGAAGCATAATCAAAATTCAACCTTAAGATTGTAGTGTCTTCTTTAATAACCAGCAGCTGCATCTATGCTCTCCAGCAGGATAGGAACTAGCTACATGTGAATGCTGAGCATTTCAGGAGTGGCTAGTTTAACTGAGATATTATAACTATATGAAACAAGTGTATTTTGAAGATATATTATCTAAAAAAATTAATATTTTATTAGTATTTTAAAAATATGATTAGATATTGAAATAAATTTTCTAGAGGCTAGCAGGTGGTGTGGCAGTTAAGGGCGCTGGACTTCCACATGGCCAACAGTTGTTTGAGTCCTGGACCTGGTGACTTACGCTCTCACTTTCTCTTACTCTCTGGTCAAATTAAGATAGATAAATAAATAATTATTTTATTGAACTTAATTAATTTATTTATTTTAATTTGACCATAGGGGCTGGGGGGCGGGAGAGAGAGAGAGAGAGGAGAAAGCCGCCAAGTCCAGGACTCAAACTGTGGTCAGCCATGTGGGAGTCCAGAGCCCTTAACCACCACACCACCTGCCAGCCCCAATAAAATAATTCTTTAAACAAAAAGAAATAACTTTTCTATATATTGGGTAAATGAAATTTACTGTTAAATTAACTTTACCTATTTTTGTTTAGGACAAAAATAGAGGACACAGGTAAGTATCTGCCAATGTTGGGCAGAGTTAACTGTCAAATGATGTAAAAACAAGTTGGATTACATATATATATATTTAATGCCAGAGGGCACAAAAGAAATAGGAAGAAGAACTCCTTGGCTCCTCCAAAATGGGGCCTGGTCATGAGCTTGGTTATGCTGCAATCTATTTTCCTCTAGTTCTCCATTCTGTCTGGATCTCGGGCATGGGATACATGCCCAGTGTGTTTTTCCTAAGAGGGGCTAGGGCTCAAACCGCTGTCTACCATGTCTTATCTGGCTTTCTCTGTGCATTGCCTAGCTACTCCACTATGGGACCAGCCTACATTTATCTTTTAAGTACCTTTGAATAATGCTTGTTTCATAATAATGAGCTGAATAAATATTTACTAGATATTGTATGTAGTTTGACTACCCTTTAGCCATAATCATCCTTATGTAAATAACATGGCCAAATAGTTCCATTTATTTTATTGGAATGAATTAGAGGAGTGCAAGCTAATTTTAAAAACATAAAATTTTGTGCTTTTATAATGTTCTGTAGTTTTTCAAGAAAAGATTCCTCTTTGAGTAGTTTAATTTTTTAAGGTTATACTATTGCTTATTGAGATTCCTCTTTACACTTATGTTTTATGAAGATGTGTTGGCAAATGTGAGGAGTATTGGAGAAGATGATTATTAACATACTATGTTCTGAAATAAATTTTGCTGACTTATCTAATATACTCTTTGCCCCTTGTATTTACCACTTTTCCTCACTTAATGCTTTCCCAATGCATATTATCCTAGAGACTGGAATTGAGGATTAGATTTTTGAGACAGGGACAAGGCAAGTACCAGAAATGAAGTGGTAAGGCACCAGCCTAAATCAAGACTCAGCACCAAGATGCCAGACAGTTCAGAAAAGCAACCGTGCCAATGTTTGAATCATGGTTGCTATTGTTTCCTACAAGTCAGAACCTGAACCTAGGCTTTTGAGCTATGTTAAATAATCTTGAGAAGATTATAATGTAGACCTACAGACAAGTGATTTGCTCTATTAGAAGTAATGCAGTACATTGTGGCTTTTTTGTTGTTTTGTTTTTAACTTTATTTAGAGACCATTGTGTAATGACCAAAGAAATTATAACTTTGATATTGTTCTATTACATGAACTACATACTTTATTGTGAGCTCACCAGTTTTTGATTAATGCCCCCCCCTTTTCTGTCCAAGATCTAGCTGAGGATCCTATAATGCATTGCATTTGCAATGTCTCTTTAGTCTTCCCTTGTCTGTGATAGTTACTCAGTCTCTTCTTTCAGAGCCTTGAGACTTTGAAGAGCACTGATCAGTTGTGTGGTGGCAGAAAGGTGTGTGCTAGCTTTCCTCATCTATTATTAGGGTAGTAGACTGTGGGGGAAATGCAGCAGGGTAGTCTGTTCAGATTTTTCTTGGCCTTTGTGTGTGGCATTCATACCTCAACATTTTTCCAAGGTGTAGGACAGGACTTTTCTGGAA